GCGCACGCGCAGTGTCCCGCGGCGGGGCTGGGCGGGGCGGACGTTCTCCCGGCCTGGTATCGCTGTCGGCACCTGGCCGCCTACCTGGTCCTCGCGAGCCGCGGCCCGGCCCCATGTACCGCGCGCTGTACGCCTTCCAGTCGGCGGAGCCCAACGCGCTGGCCTTCGCCGCGGGCGAGACCTTCCTGGTGCTGGAGCGCAGCAGCGCGCACTGGTGGCTGGCGGCGCGGGCGCGCAGCGGCGAGACGGGCTACGTGCCGCCTGCCTACCTGCACCGTCTGCAGGTGAGTGCCGGCCGGGCCCGGGCCCGCGGCCCGCGCGCGCGGAGACCCCAGGGCGAGAGCCCTGCGGAAGAGCGGCCCCTTGACACGAGAGCCGCCGAAAGCCGCGCTCTGGGGCGGAGACCCCTCGGGACCTCAGGCGCCCGCCGCGGGGACCTGCCTCGGAGTAGGTCCTAGAGCGGGACCCGGAGACTCCAGCCGCCAGGTCCCTGGTGCCCCAGTCCGCAGTACTCCCCTTGCTGGGCCACCGGGGTGCCACCCTCCCCGCCCCCGCCGCGCAGCGCCGGCCTTTACCCCAGACCCCCCGCCGAGACGAGGCACCTTAGGCGCCGCCCCTTCCCCTCGACGCGCCCGGGCTCTCACCTCCCCGCACCTGCCCTCGGACCCTGGGCTCGGACTCCCGCCCCTCTTGGTGACCCCCGACGCTGAGGTCCCGGTGTCTCCGACCGTCCTGTACTCCGCATCCCTAAGCTCTTAGCCGGAGTCACTGGACCGAGGTTCCCCGCGCCTGCTGACCCTCCCGACGCCGTGCCTTCTGCTCCCCCGTGCGTGCAGCCCCGACTTCGCGGACTTCCTTCCTCTGGACTCAAGGGGCCCCATCCTTCCTCGTCCCTAGCCTGGAGTGGCTCCTCCGCAGGATTCCCCCGGCCTGACGATGGCCCCGTTTCCTTCCAGTGCAGGCTGCAGTCCCAGTTCCTGTCTCCGCCAGAGCAGCCCCGTGTCTCCCGCTGGTCTCTTCTGAGTACAGGCCTCAGAGGCGGCCTCTGCCAGACATGCCTGCCGTCCTAGTCCCCCGCTCTAGAAAACACCCTGTCCTCGAGCACTTGAGAGTGGAAATAACAGGATAATCTGTTTGGTCCTTGCCAAAGGGGTTGGGCCTCCGCCCCTCAGCCTGAGCCCATCCGGGAGTGCGGGGCTGAGGACCCCTCAGGGGGAGGTCCTGCTGCTGCCCCGACTGAGCACAGGCCGCGGCAGGGCCAGTGGGGCCGTGGGCTGCCCTGTGGGGAAGACAGAGGGGCTGCCATCTTTTCTGCCGCTGCGCTGGCTGCATGCCAGCGCGCTCCTGTGTCTCGGTTTCTCATAGGTCTCTGTCCACCTCATCCTGCTCTTCACTGGGGTGTTTCCCTTTCTGCCTCTCCCATTCTGTCCCTGGCGCGGTCACCCTGCGTTGTCTCCCTCTGCCTGCCTCCGCGTCCCTCTCTGCAGGTCTGTCTCACTGTCTTTCTGCCCCCCTTGCGTCTCGCATCTCCCCGCGCTGTGGCACAGCCGGTGCCACCCGCAGGGCTTTGCTGACTGCGTGCATCTGTCTACCCCCACCAGGGAAACTTCTCAGAGCACCGGGCAGTGAGCTCCCTCGGCTCTCAGGCTCCTGTTTATCTGCCTGGCCATGGGCGGTGGGGTGAAGGGAGGGCAGGGTGACTGGCCCCCTGGGTTGCTGAGGCTGAGGACCTGAGCGAGGAGCAGGTACGAGGTCTGTCCCTTCGTCCTTCCTTTGCAGCTGACACAGAGCTGCTTCCCACGGCAGGTCTAGGGCAGCTTGGGAGGACAGCAGGGCTGGGCAGCCGGGGTCCCCTTGGCTCCCTCTCAGCTCCTGGAGCCTTCACGGGGCTCTGCAGGGACAAGGCTGTCCTGGGTGTGACCTTGGTGTTGGGAGCCATCCGCGGGATCCAGAGGGACTGATTAAGGATTCCAGGCACTGGAGGCTGCTTGCCATCTCAGCCTGGGCTCTGAACCAAGCCCAGGGATGGAGTAGGTATGCAGTCCTGGCTGCAGACTGGGGCTCGCTGGGCTAAGGGTTTGCTCCAGAGCCCAGGTCTCGAGAGGCATCTGAACCAAGAACCTTTCTATGGGGAGAAGCCCTGATTGGGGCCCTGTGTGTGAAATGGCCCCCTGGGGCTCCTTTGTGTCCCTGCTCCCCGAGGGACAGCATTGGAGACCCCTCTCAGTGGACCCACACTCAGCGTCCTCCTGGGCTGGGTCTGGGCTGGGCACCCTTCCGGGCGTGGGTCTGACTGCTCACCTCCCGCAGGGCGTAGAGCAGGATGTCCTGCAGGCCATTGATCGGGCCATCGAGGCCGTGCACAACACAGCCATGCGGGACGGCGGCAAGTACAGCCTGGAGCAGCGCGGCGTCCTTCAGTGAGTGAGGGGGAGGCGGGCGGCGTTGCCAGGGAGCGTTAGGGATGCTCAGGTGGGGCTGGTGGAGCCTGGGAGATGGCGCGAAGGGCTGGGCCTGAGGGGCCGCAGCCTCGCGTAAGGCTCCTGTGAGAACTGGGGACCGTGGGGGTGCGGTGCTCTTCGCCAGTCTCGGCATCCCCACTAGGAAGCTGATCCACCATCGGAAAGAGACCCTGTCTCGTAAAGGCCTCTCGACCTCCAGTGCTGCCGTTATGACTGCGTCCACCAGCGACCATCATTTGGATGCTGCCGCTGCCAGGCAGCCCAATGGGGTGTGTCGCACTGGGTTTGAACGGCAGCACAGCTTGCCCAGTTCTGAGCATCTCGGGGCGGATGGCGCCCTCTACCAGGTACGTGGTGAGGGCGTCCTGGAGGAGGAGGTGGGTGGGCCTGAGCCTTTATCCTGAGGCTCAGGGCTCCACTCGGATTAGTAATGTAACCAGAGCCGTGGCCCTGGCCGCAGCCAGAGCTCAGGATGCCAGGCAGCAGCCTGTCCCCTCCGACCCCGTTCTGTGCCCACAGGTCCCGCCCCAGCCTCGCCGAGCAGCACCCACTACGCCACCCCCACCCGTGAAGCGCCGAGACCGCGAGGCCCTGATGTCGGGGAACGGTGAGGGGCAGCGTGCGGGACGGGGTGGGTGCTCAGGGCTGGGAGTGGCCGCGCCAGGCAGACGGGGCCCTGTATCGGGCACTTGGGGGCTCTGGGCCGGGCAGGGACCGAGGGCCTAGCGGAGGCACTGGGGGGCGTGGGGGACAGGGCTGGGGCTGCCCTAGCACAGCGTGTGTCCTGTGCTCACAGGTGGCCGCAACACCACGCCCTCCGGCTGTAGCTCGGTGTCCAGTGGCTCCTCCGTGAACAGCACTTCCCTGGATACGCTCTGCACCGGCTCCAGCCCCTCTGAGCTGGGCCTTGGCTGCTCCCCCACGCCCCCACCGGTGCCACGCAGAGCCACCCACGCTGCGTCCCAAGCCCTGCCCTCTTTCTCCAGGGCACCCGCCCCGGAGTCCCCTGCCGCGGAGGAGGAGGCGGTGGCGGTTTGTGCAACCCCGGCCACCGACGCCTTGGAGTCCTTGGGCTCTCTGAGTCTGGGGCCCGCAGAGGAGAAGGCAGAGGCCGAGGTTGCTGTGCCGAGGACCATTGGGGCAGAGCTGATGGAGCTTGTGCGGAGGAACACAGGCCTGAGCCACGAATTGTGCCGCGTGGCCATCGGCGTCGTGGTGGGTCACATCCAGGCCTCGGTGCCAGCCAGCTCGTCTGTCATGGAGCAGGTCCTTCTCTCGCTGGTAGAGGGCAAGGTGAGGGGGCAGCATGGCCAGGAGCCTCCCACAGCACCCCATTCCCAGCCCCACACGTGTCCAGCCTGTATGTGACAGGTGTTCCTCACTGTGGTGCTGGGCTCTCATTAGGCTGAGCGCTGGGGATATTTGAAGTGACTCAGGAAGGAGAGAGGGAGGAAGAGCGTGCGTGACGCAGGGCTGAGTGTGGCCCCGGGGAAGGGGAAGGTGGCGTGGCTGGCACACGGGTGGGGAGAGCAGCTATGGGAGGAGCAGAGACCGGGAGTAGCTGGCAGCGAGCCCAAGGGTGTGGCGGGAAGCAGTGGACTCGCGTGGGTGCAGCAGTGTCTCGCTGGCCTGGGCGGTGGCAGGAACGTACATTTGGAGAGCTGTCCCGGGGGCCCACCTGCTACCCAGGTGGAGCCGGTGAGGCGTGTGGGTGCGCTGGGACTTGTGCAGGGCTCCGGTCAGGAGCAGGATTGAAGGCCGCGAGCCCGGAGTGTGTGTTGAGAGCTGGCTGGGCCAGGGTCCCTCCGTCGGGCTCCTCCTGCAGTTCTGGCGTGGGTGGTGGGGCCGTGGCCAGGAGCATGCCGCGCCGGGCACAGCAGCCAGCGCCCGGCCTGCAGGTCTCAGGAGAGTGCGATGGAAGGTGATGGGCCTGCTCCACGGGTTGGACGGGAGTGTGGCGTCTCAGTCCTGCTCCGGCAGGTGCTGGAGTCTGTGCCCTTCTTGGGCGTTTATCTGGGTGCAGTGAGAGGCAGGTGTGGGGAAGCCTCCCACACACTGCCTAACGCAGCATCCTGTCCCGGGAGAGCATCAGGACCAGAGGCGAACCCCTGCCTGGTGTGGGTCAAGTGGGACTTGCGCTCACAGTGTAGGCCCAAGGCCTGAGGGCTTCCTGGAGATGGTGTGCTAAGCCGTGTCCTGCCCTCTCTCCCCAGGACATGAGCACAGCGCTACCCTCTGGGCAGGTCTGCCATGACCAGCAGAGGCTGGAAGTGATCTTTGCGGACCTGGCCCGGAGGAAGGACGATGCCCAGCAGCGCAGCTGGGCCCTGTATGAGGATGAGGGTGTCATCCGATGCTATCTGGAAGAGCTGCTGCATATTCTGGTGCGGGGTGGGGGTGGCGTACGTCTCCAGCATGTGTGTGAGCAGGGCCCCGCCCCGCCCCGTCCCTCTCCCCTGCACGAAGTGCTTCGCTTGTCTCCGTGCGGCCACACGGCCAGGCCCGCTGGGTGACGCACGCTTCCTCCTCCCTGCAGACCGATGCGGATCCTGAAGTTTGCAAGAAGATGTGCAAGAGGAGTGAGTTCGAGTCTGTCCTGGCCTTGGTGGCCTATTACCAAATGGTGTGCACCAGGCAGAGGGGAGGGGTGCGTGGAGGGGTGCGGGTAGGCCTAGGGGTTCCAGAAACTCAGCACCGGGGTCCCCTGCCAGGAACACCGAGCGTCGCTGCGCCTGCTGCTCCTCAAGTGCTTTGGGGCCATGTGCGGCCTTGACGCGGCGATCATCTCCACACTCGTGTCGTCTGTGCTGCCTGTGGAGCTGGCACGGGACATGCAGACAGACACACAGGGTGAGGCGGGGCGGGAGAGCATGCTGCCGTCGGGAGCGGCCCCCCGTCCGCTGGGGTTCCCGCCGTCTCCAGGGCCCTGACTGCCTGCCCCCTCACCCCAGACCATCAGAAGCTCTGTTACTCTGCGCTCATCCTGGCCATGGTCTTCTCGATGGGGGAGGCAGTGCCCTACGCGCACTACGGTAAGAACGCACAGGGTGAGCTGCTGACTGAGGTGCGAGCCGTGGCCCGAGGGCTGGCAGGGTAGGGAGTCCCCGCGGCTCAGCGAGCGCCCAGGAACTGTGTGGCGTAGGGCGCGGGATGAGGCTGCAGACGCGTGGGTGCCTCTTCCAGAACACCTGGGCACGCCCTTCGCCCAGTTCCTGCTGAGCATCGTTGAGGACGGGCTGCCCCTGGACACCATGGAGCAGCTGCCGGACCTCTGCATGAACCTGCTTTTGGCTCTCAACCTGCACCTGCCAGGTGAGGATGGGACCGGCTGGGGGGCGCCGCGCGGAGAGGCTTCGCAGGCTGCGGTTTTGCCGTCTACACCCTGTCCTTCCTCAGTACCTGACCAGAATGTCATCATGGCCGCCCTGAGCCAACACTCCAACGTCAAGATCTTCTCCGAGAAGCTGCTGCTGCTGCTCAACAGAGGAGGTGGGGGCCCTAGAATCCGTGCGGGTACCAGTCGTATCTCCTGTGAGTCTGTGTCCCCCTCTGGGGTCACCGTGGGAGCCCAGCAAAGGCCGCCCTGACCCCGTGACCCCTGCCTTCTAGACGACCCCGTGCGCATCTTCAAACACGAGCCGCAGCCGCCGCACTCGGTGCTCAAGTTCCTGCAGGACGTGTTCAGCAGCCCCGCCACGGCTGCCATCTTCTACCACACAGACATGATGGCGCTCATCGACATCACCGTGCGGCACATCGCCGACCTCTCGCCCGGGGACAAGGTGACGCTGAGGGGACGTGAAGTGTGAGGGGCTGGGGTGCTGCTGGAGCCGGGCGGCTGCGGGAGGCCCCTGGGAACGCAGGGCAGGGGTGCTGGGAGCCGGGGCGGCGGCCGTGGCGCTACCGGACTGGGCGTCTGGGCACCGCTGCAGCAGAGGGTGTGGGAGGTGATGGCGGGACGTGGGTGCACAGGGCACCTCGGGGCTGCACGGCAGGCAGATCTCAGGAAGGGGAAGTGGGCTGACGACACCTTGCGGGACCTTGGCCACGTGAGGGCAGGCTGGGGTGCGGCCCCTGGGGTGGTGGGGGAAGGCCAGGCTTGGGGCGCGCTGGATGGGTCCAGCAGAGCTTGACGCTGCTTTGTCTTGAGCAGCTGGGCGGGCGGAGCCTCACGATGATATCGAGGGGAGGGGGGAGGGGGATGCTTGGGAGGAAACAGCTGGGCGCTGATGGTGCCAGGATGGGGGCGACGCCTGGTAGACGTTTGGGCACAGAGAGCTTGAGGGAGGCCGCGGGGAGCCAGCGGGGGCTACAGCACCATTTGGGGCTCTCTGTGCAGAGGTGTGACCGGAAGCCGCGCCGGTGTGAGTGCCCAGGGAAGGGCACAGCGGGCAGGGTCCGTAGGGAGGAGCCCGGAGAGAAAGCAGGCAGGCGAGGGCCCAGAGCCACGTGCAGGAGGAGCGCAGCCAGGAGCCTTGGCGGGGGCTGAGAGTGGGGGTCACGTTCGCCGTACGGCTGTCAGCAGTGACAAGGGAGGTCAGAGTCCTGGAGGACACCCGTGGAAAGCTGGGGGGACCTGAAGGTAACCGAGGGGTGGGAGTGGACAGCAGTAAACAGGCAGCTCTTGTAAATCTTCTGGGTGGGGTGGGGTGGGGGGCACGAGCTGGGTCAGGGAGAGTGTGGGAGGTGCTGTGCCTACCCCGCCCGGGAGCCTGGAGGAGCGAAACCTCCGCCATTCTTTGTGGCGGGGGGCAGGTGAGATGCGCGTGCTGAGAGCGGAAGGCGGGGCTTCCGGGAGACGCTGCTGTGTTTTCATGAAGCGCAAGGCCAGTGGCCAGGCAGGTTAGCTTTGGGAGACAGAGAAGGTGGCCGATGGGGCGGCAGACAGCGAAGAGATGGCCACTGGCCATCGAGTTTGGGAGTGAAGGTCGAGGGCCACACGTGGCTCTGGCCCGTCGATGGCCTCGAGTGGCGAGCGCCCCGGTCTGACTCCGGCGTTGGAGTCCGTGGGTGACGCCGCCCAGGGGAGGTTTTGGTACTGGCTCCTCTGTTCAGAGGTAAGGAGAATGATGAGGGATGCTGGCATGGAGAGAGGGCAAGCGCTGGAACGAGGGCTCTGGTGAAGCAACGGCAGTGCTCTGTCATGAGACACACAGCACGAGAACTCGGCTTGGGGAGGGCGAGGGGAAGCTGGAGTTGGACGGTAGCTGCGTGGGTTTGAGAGGTGCAGGCTTGACCAGCAGGGTGGATATCCTGGCCTGGGGCTCACAGGACAGATCTAAAAGCTTGAGGCCAGGTCACTGGGAAACGCCTGAATGAGGTCTTCCAGGGCGAGAGAGGGGCAGGGTGGAAGCAGGCAGGCTCCACGACGTGCGTGGTGTCTCCGGGGCTCCGCTCTGGAGGGCTGGCAGGCCTGCCCAGGGCAGGCCCCGTTCTGGGACTCTGGTGGCTGGGAGGGTTCACGCGTTCACTCGCACGGTGACTGCCGCAGGCACGGTCCGGGTGCTGGGACGCAGCCCTGATGCTCATGCAGTGTGCGCTGGTCCGTAGCCCTGGGTCCACGGGAGACAGTGGCGGGGCCCCAGCTGGCAGTCACAGCACCTCCCAGGAGTGCTTGAGCCGGCCTGCTGTTCCCGCAGCTGCGCATGGAGTACCTCTCCCTGATGCATGCCGTGGTCCGCTCCACGCCCTACCTGCAGCACCGCCATCGGCTCTCGGACCTGCAGGCCACATTGCGGCGCATCCTGACTGAGGAGGAGACGTCGCCCCAGTGCCAGCTGGACCACATGATCGTTGAAGAGATGTGCAAGGAGTTCCCAGTGCTTGGGGAGGCCCCCAGCTAGCACCTTCCTTCCCCGCTTCCCTGCACCTCTGCGACGGGTGCGGGGGACTCAGGGGCTTCACCCTTAGTGTTGCGCACTGACCTTGTGAGGGGCTAAGTGGGTCGGCCCAACGCAAGAGGCCAAGTGTGGGCTTGGGGACCACGGTCTGGGAAGTACACCGGGGCGGGAGGAATATACAAGCAGAAGCCCCTCTGACCCTGGTAATCTGCCTTTTCAGCATGCCTCACCTCTGCCTCACACCCCCTGCACACTCAGAGTCCTGCTGCTGCTCCAGGCTGGGCCAGAGCCCCATCCCCGCCCGCCTGGCCAGTGCCCTGGGCCTCTGCAAGCCATGTTCTTGGGGTGAGGGGAGGCGCTGCCCACCAGCTCTGCTCTTTGCCTTAGCTTTGCAGTGAGTGTTGCTCATATGCTCCCTCAAACCCCCTGGGGTCACTGCCCCTTGCTGTCAGCCCAGGAGGCCTTGGCCACGCTGCTGCTGTGAAAGTGGAAGATGCCCAAGGGTGTCCAGGAGACATGCCATCCATTCTGGAGCTTCCGGGAACAGGATGGTGATGCTGAGAAAGCCAGTGACAGAATCTATTTTCTCTAAAAACGTAGACTGAAAAGTCATGTGTATTTTCCTATGTGCTATAGCTCAACTTTGGAAATAAATCAAAGGCGTCAGGAATCAGGCTTCCCTGTATGGCCCTGGGGGCTGGTGCTCAGGACCCTGTCATCCGGCTTCAGACTTCTGTAGCCTGAAGAGGCGACAAAGTGGATGGCCTGTTCTAACCTCTGCTTCCTGCTCTGTCCTTCCGGGGGCCCAGCTTGGTAGGTGGCTGTACTTCCAGCCTCTCCTCTGTGAAAGCCACCCCTTTCTTCCCTGTTGGACTTTGTTCTACGTAGCTTTTTTTTTTTTTTGTCTTTTTGAGACAGGGTCTCGCTATGCAGTTCAGGCTGGCCTTGAGCTCACTTTGTAGCCCAGGCTGGTCTCAAGCTCGCAACGGTCCTCCTGCCTCAGCCTCACAAGTGCTGGGATTACAGATGTGGGCCACCACACCCTACATAGCTATTCTCAAAGGAAGCAAGCCCTCTCCCAGCTGTGGTCTCCCTGGATAAATGGCCCGTGTCCGGCTTTATTTCCCTTGTCACCAAGACCAGTGTGATACCCTCATTTTACAACCTAGAGATGTCATTTGTGTGTGTGGTGATGGGGATCGAACCCAGGGTCTTGTGCACCCAAGGCAAGAGTTCCACCACTGAGCCCCATCCCCAGTTCAGATGTCCTTTTTTGAGGGTGAAAGAGTCTATGTATGTGTGTATTTTCTTTTTTGTTATTTTTGGACAGGGTCTTTCTGTGCAATTAGGCCGGTGTTACACTCACTACATAGCCCAGGCTGGCCTCAAACTCTCATTAATCCTCCTGTCTCAGCCTCCCAAGTGCTGGGATTACAGGTGTGTGCCACCATCACACCCAGCTTCGAAAGAGTGCTAAGGGGGCAGTGAGGTTTGCGTTCCTCTTCCAGAGGGCCTAGACGCCAGTCTGATAAAACCTTCATTCTCTTCATGGGTTCCCAAGTCAGCAAAGAGACTGTCCTGAAAAGTGGCAGAAACATCAGGGCCCACCCCTAGGTGGGCAGCGGTTGGCAGTGGGGCATCAGTGCTCTTCATTTCCACCCGGGACTTACTCCTCCATAGTCCACACACCGTCACGGGCGCTGTGACTTCTGTCACAACTTCCTCTCTCAGTAGATGCTGAAGGCAGGGAGCTGCTGTGGACCAGCAAGAGGAGATGCAGCAGGAGGCAGCAGAGGCCCAGGGTGCAGCCCCGGAAAGCAGGTGCCCGGGAAGCAAAGGCAGGACGGCGTGCTAGGGAGCCTGCTGCAGGGCCGCACAGGCCACGGGGCAAGGGCCCACCTTAGCCCCCGGTGGAGCTCACGCGCTCTGGAAGCACAGCCAGATCGCTCCTCATCCTGGAAACAGGACCCTTTTCCATCCAAGGTCAGCAATGCAGACTTCAGTCACGACTCCTTTCTCCTGAGGGTGCTGAAGTCAGGAAACCATTAACTCAAGAGAGGGCGATTCGGTTAAAAGCGCAGGTTCTCAGGAAGCTGAGGTGGAAACATCTAGCACCAACTGTGACTTTTTGTTTTCCCGGTCGCAATGCACACACGAGCGTGGTGGGAAGAGTGGAGCTGTGCTTCAGCGTCTGTCCCAGTGTTGGCCCCTAGGACGACAAAGTATGTCCGTTTCTCCAGGGCTGGCCGAGGGGCCCTTGTGCGAGTGTGTAAGGGACGCTGATGAAGTTATGTAAATGCTAGATTTTGGTAGCAGATGTGCACTGAGGTGGCCAGGGATGGGACTCCAGGACCCCTCAGCGAACACTCTGATGGTCTCACAGCACAAAATTAGAGCCACAGAGGCAGACTATGATCGGAGAAATCCCTGCAAACTCACCGGGACACATCGGGGACTGCGTGGGAGGGCGCAGATGTCACCGGGACACGTCAGGGGCTGTGTGGGAGGGCGCAGACGTCACCGGACACGTCGGGGGCTGTGTGGGAGCGTACGGACGTCACTGGGACACACCAGGGACTGCATGGAAGGGTGTAAATGTCAGGGAGGCTGGGAAAGATGAAGGGGGGTTGAGCAGAAAGGGGCCATCCGGGTTCGGTCCAGAAGAAACAAGAAGCTTAGGGGATGAGAGCCGGTTCCTAGGTCAGAAATGCCACCTGCAATTAGGAGTCTAAAGGCGCTGGCACTGTCTGCAGGACATGCATGTGGCCACGGCTGCACACGCACTGGAAACCCCAGAATGAGAAGCGGAGACCACCTGCTGGCTCGGTCTCCTGGACACAGACCGAGGCTGTAAGTAAAATGAGGACGACTTATTTTTTAATGCGAGAATAACATACTGTGAAGAGTGTAGTGTTCAAAAATTACCGTGGCCGTGAAAACGCTAATACAACCACGACCAGGTGAAGAAACCATGTCACAGGGCTGCAAGTCACTTAATCACTCCATCACTGGCTCCTCCCTGCTCTCCAGAGGGAATCCCAGGTGAACTTTGCCACGGAGTCTGCATGTGTCTGGCTTGTCACTCACCGTTAAGTGTCTGAGACTCATACGTCACAGCATGTGACTGTAGTTTGTTCATTCTCGCTGCCGTACAGGCAGGACGCTCATCTGTCCACTGCTGATGACCTTGCGATGGAATACAACGTCTCTGTAACAGTAGCATCGTTATACATAGCTGCTTGCGTGTGCCAAACTAGACTTGTTCTTACAGATACTGCCAAATAGTGTTCTAGATGCTGCACCTCTACCAGTGTATGCCCCTCCTCTATGGTCTGAGTTCCAGCTCCTTTGGTCTTTTTCAAAATTTGGTATGGCTGTGAGTTATCCCTCAGGGGTACAGCACTCACCTTCCTATGAACAAGGCCCCAGGCTCAGTCTCAAATCTGCACTACAAAACACACACACACACCCCTACACATACACATGCATTCCAAAACCTGTTGTCAGTCACTTTTACTTTATCCTGTCCGGTAGGATGGTGTGTTTTTTAATTTGCATTTCCCTGATGACTAAAAGAGTCTGAGAACATTGTCATTAGTATACTGGCTCTTTGGATATTTTCTTTTTGATACACTTATTCACATCTCTTGTTCATATGTCATTTGTCTTTTATCAATATGTAGTATGTATTTGGGATATGAGTCTTTAAGGCTTTCATTGTTTGCAATACTGGGGATTGAACCCAGGACCTCACACTGACCTACACTCCCGCCCCACCCCCTTAAAAAAATCTCTAGACAAGGTCTCCCTAAACTACCCAGGCTGCTTGTGAAATTGTGATTCTCCTGCTTCAGCTTCCCAAGTAGCTGGGATTACACATGTGTGATGCAGCACCTGGTTTCCTCATGGCACAGTAGTACTCCATTATGTATAAATACCACATTTTCTTTATCCAGTCATCTGTCGGTGGACATATAGGCTGTTTCTAAGATTTAGCTGTAAACATGGGTGTGCATGCATCACTGTAATGGGATGACTTTAACTCTTTCAGGAAGATACCTAGAAGGGACATAGCTGGGTCCCACCCCTTTCCAATTCTAATTTTTTTTCCTCCCCTGCCCTCCCCTCTCCTTTACTTTTCTTTCTTTTTCAGACAGGGTCTGGCTAAGTTGCCCAGGCTGGGCTAGAACTTGCAGTCGTCCTGCCTTAGCTTCCCAGAGTGCTAAGATTTACAGACAAGTCCCAGCTCTGGCTCTCCTCTTTTTTGAAGACATGGTATTTATTTTGTCAAAGTCAAGCAGGATACTGTGTTGATCAGTAAATGCAAAGTGTCAAGCATGAAATATATACATATTTGAAACAGTACACTGCAGGATACAGGCTATACATACCCCAAGGGAGAGAAGGCTCTTGCTGTGGACATCCACAGCTTTGCCATGACAGGAGCAGGAATCAGCCACCACCTCCGAATGCCCACGGGCAGCTGTTAGCACCAGGTCATTTTCACAGCAATAATACATCTATGTACTGAGTTACGTACAAGGAGGCCACTAGAGTTTTTTATTCCCTGTGAACCGGACGGTACAGAGGCAACCAGAAAATCAGATGGGAAGGTTGTAATGATGTGTGCCTGGCTAAAAGAACACCAGAGCACTATATATTACTGAGTATGAAAGTCCTGGAAACGATCACAATACTGGGTTTGAGGGGAAAGAATCAAGAAGAACAAAAACTGTCTACATTATAAATAAAATAAGTTACTCCTGAGGTCTGCAGACAGTCAGCGGCCCTTGTTCCCAGCAAGGGGCTACCAGGAGCCACGGAGGACTGCTGTGGCAGTCACACATTCCAAGTTGGAAACGGCTCCTCTGAACAGGAATAACACCTCTGAAAGGGCACTCGTCCTTCCAGCACCGGGACGCTGCCAAGAACGTGAGTTATCTCTGCAGAACTGAAGCCCGATGGCATTTGGCGGCATTCACGCCCACACTGTGCCTCTGTGTCCAGGGCAGCCCTTAGGTTCAGGAAGTGTGTGTGTGTGTGTGTGTGTGTGTGTGTGTGTGTGTGTGTGTGTGTGTGTTAGGAAGGCCATGGTCATTGCTAACAGAGGGAAACCTCACCGCACCCACTAGAATGTTCTTATGGGATTAAGAGGAGATGAGAAGAGGGGCTGGGGATTTAGCTTAGTGGCACAGCGCCTGCCTGGCAAGCATGAGGTCGTGAGTTCGATTCCAGGTACTG